AAAAAAAGAAGAAAGAAAAAATCATCAAATTGCAGGTGCAAAACAACTTCACCTCAAGAGATTCAACCTTCTAATTATTACCCATGAATTTATATTATAAATATAAGGCATTATAAATAATTCCAACATCCTGCTATGCTTAATACAATTATGCTATCATATAAAAAACAAAATGAAATATGTATAGAAAACAAACCATGCATCCTAAAGCTAATAGCAAATGTGCAAATACACTTTACACTTACACAAAATAATATACTCTCTAATACGCAACTTTCTTTCATTTTATCTAAAATATCAACCCTCCTCATGAAATTTCTATTTCTATTACATGTACAAAGGTAACTGTGGATTCTGCACTTTTATGACACTGGTTAAAGCTACACCCTCAAGATTTTTGGTATTATATTGTATTTCTTGTATTACTGCTCATGGAATTCCAGATGATCAGTAAACAGTTCAGGGAAAAACCCATCAATAAAAAACATTTTTCACTCAAAAGTTTACTCTTAAATCCAACTCAGTTTCTGTAAGCATAACCTTATTTTCATTTTTGGAAAAGAACATGTTTTTGCTAAAAGAGCATACAAAATCTCACAGTAGATAAGGTCATTTATCTCCTTGACTTCTTTTTTGATTGTGCCACCAGATGTTCTTGTGATGAAGGGAAGTTGTCATCATTCAACAAGGCTTCTGCTGATGCTGAAAAAATAAAATAACAATAGTCAGCAAATGTTTTTTTAGACTGATAAATATGAGGAGCATTCTTTCCATTTAAATTTAGTTATCACGATTGTTGCCCCGTTTTATTGAATATGATTTGCTACTTGTCCAAATTTCAGAGCAGCAGCCAACTAAATTACTAAATCACCTTTGGATATAGTCATAATTATAGGCCATTGTTTGATTGTGCACTTGCATCTTTTCTGCTTGTTTATAATAAACAAAAAGTATACTGGTCTATCTACATTTGAAAATGACATAAAGTCATTTTCTATGCCTATTGGTACACATTCTCCAAACATTCTTCAGACTTTTTAATTTAATGATGACAAAAATACTTTGTATTAAATATTTCATATCATATTCTGCTGCACAGCATTTCTCAGTGCACTATCTCGGTAAATGACAAAATTTATTTTGGAACTTAAATGTGAATGTGGCTTACATGTCCCTTCCTTTTCTTCATCCTCATCTTGGTAGTGGGGTGGTTCCTCTCCAGGCTGAGTGGGAACTGCACTGTATGCCCCGTGATGTGGATAAATAATAACTGGGCCTGGAGCAATCATCACCTCATTGATAGAGGACTCATAGATGACAGCCTGAAAACAACATTACACAGCAATCAGAGAAAAACAAAATATCAAAATGTCGCTTTTGGAAAAAAAGAGAGTATAAAAGGAAAAAAAACATTTGGAAAGACACTCAATGACATGGCAATGTTGTCTCTATCACTAGCTATTAACCAAACCATGGCATGTAAAGATAAAGCTTTAAGAAGACTGCAAATGCCAGTTAAGAACATTAAGAAATGTATTTAGTCTGAAATCTTCATAACAAACTGAAGGTCTACAAATGATCTAAACTTGGGTAAAACATTGTTTTTCATTCACTTGGACAGAAATAACACACACACACACACACACACACACTGAAAATCATCATCTCTTCCTTACTGGATGCCTGTAATCTGCTGCAGTTCCTCTTCCTGCTGCCAACTCCTGGTACTGGGAGATTACACACAACAGACAGTACATCTGAAAACAACAACAGGAAATAAGAAGAATGTGTGAAACAGAATGGGCATATGGTAACTTTGGTATGTCCCATTGTTTTATCAGTTCATTCCATATCTGAAGTTAGATGAATAAAAAAGATTAGACATTATTTAAATCCCTTCCACTGAACAATTAATGGAAGAAAGAAAAAGTGGAAAGATCTCAAAATGTTTTTCATGCTACAACTGCATAACAAAGATGCATTAAAATTTTCAAACACACAGGTAATTGCACTATGTTTCTTAAAAAGATATAAAATTATATTAAATTTAACCTGTTATCATTATCCATATTTCTACTAGTGATGTATAGATAGAAATATCACTTACACTGATCAGGGTAAATATGAGCCACAGGATAGAATGGATAATGGAGAACGTAACTTCAACATTATCCTGCAAATAAATACAAAATAATCAAATAAATAAATAATAATATTAAATACAATGACAATGATAATGAAAGTGTGCTTATAAAGTTCACCATTTTATGATTTAATGCAAGATGTTCTTCGTAATTATAAAAGTAGACAATTATAATTTATTAGCAACATGTGACAAAAAAAAAAAATGCAAGCAAACATAGAAGAAACTGTAATACTATTTAAATGTGAGTGGCTAATAAACATTTTATACATTTAAGGTTCTTTTGTGATTTTAAAAGACCTTTGTACTGACCTTTTGAAAAAAACAAAAAACAAATTAAAAAATAAGGCAATACTCTCTACAGTCTCTCAAAAGGCTAAAAACGTCAGACTAGATGACAAACATATTAGGCTTTTTTTTTACACAAATAATGATAAACTTACATAGGTAAAGATACCATAAACAACTGAGATGGCATCCACCAGTATAACAAGGACCATCATACACATCCATGGAAGGAATAAAAATCTCTGATCCTGAAATAAATATATATTGAGGAATATCATTAATATCTCAGAAAGTTCTACAGACTGAACAAGTTAGTCACTTTTTAATCAAAGGAAGTCAATGTTTTTAAACAAGTCCTACATCTTAAAACATTTGAAAAGGAGTCAAGAAATGTCTACAAAATAGTTAAATTTTATCAATAACTACTTAAGACCTTGTTAGTAAATTTATATATTTCTAAATAGAAAATTAAATAGTTTAATTTATCTCTCACTTTCCTTTTCAAATTAATCTGATACTGATTTTTATGTGAGCACGTACAATTATCCTTACCTTATGCACTCCAACAATATGAAGTAAGGAAGCCAAAAACGTTAGGGAACACAATGCTAATGTGGCATAACACCAAGCCTCAATACCTAAGGAAAGGAAATTAGCTTTAAGGTGACCCAAATCAAACAAAAATTAATATAGAATCTATAAATCAAACATAAAGAATCATAATGTACCAGTAGACCAAAGAAGCAAAATTAATAATATAATAATATGATTTTTTTTCAGTCATTACTGCAAATGTGTGTGTGTGTGTGTGTGTGTGTGTGTGTGTGTGTGTGTGTGTGAGTAAAACTGAGAGAGAGAGAGAGAGTTACCTTCCCACATTTGCTTCTCAGTTTCATCTTCAACTCGAGTAAGGTCAAAGAACTGTATATGGTACAAATTGTATCCTGACAGACCACTAGTAACCAAGGATAAGATCTAAAACAATACAGGAATGAGTGAAATAAATAACGGCAACATTTACAGATCATAGAACTACTAGCAGTTAGCCAAAAGGTAAAAATCCTGGCTATTCAAAAGTTTTGTAAAATGATTCAAAACATTTGAGGTGTCTTAGTACATGTTTTGCTAAAATTTCAAAACAGGAAACATCTGCTACCAAAACATTAATTCTGCACACTAAATTAAATAAAACACTAAATCTTTATGCAAGTGCAGGGACAGCTAGGTTGCTGAGCAATGACCCATGATCTCGAGTATATACAGTACATGAGTAGGACACAGGCATGTACTAGTATTCTATACTGACAAATGTCACATAAAGTGAAAGATCATTCAATATCATCTTCAAAAGGCACAAAAAATAATCATTTGGAGGTCAAAACACAACTTTGAGAGAAAGGATGACTATATTACGGTATATTTTTGATGATATACTAGTAATTTATATGCTCATATTTGCACTGATAGTTTCAGAAGGGAGGCTATAAATAGCAGTGCAAATATCACTTTTCAGAAAATAATGTAATAAAACTCTGCGGAAATTTTTATGTAATGCTATATGAAACTATATGGTGGCATTTGGTCGGGTTTTGCGGCATTAATTTGACTTATTAGCACTCGTTTAATGTGTATTTTTTAACAATAACACTCAATCACAGAAATAACAGCATAAAATAACTAACCCTGGTTTAAGTATAAAGTCTGTTTCTCTTTCAACAGGTTAATGGTGATGCCTTGAGCAATGAAATTTATCAAAATTATTCTGAATCACTAGTGTCCAAATCATCACAATTCTTCCAAAGCCAAGATAAACACAACTGTGCATGATATCACGTTCAGTTCATTAACACGTGAGCGAAACATTTTACTAAAATATTCACTTACAGCAGTATAGATTCCACAGGCAAAAGCGCCAATTCGTAGATTACAACAGCAACAAGTATTTATGATCGTCATTGTTTTGATTCCTGCATGGTCTCAGTTACAATTTTTTGTAAAACCAAGGTAGATTTCCGCACGTTGGCTTGTTTACGATTGAGTTTTAAGTAAGGTCTTACGCGCGTAGAAAATTCGACCCAGCTTTTCCTCCAAATGAAATGTGTATTTCGTCAGCAGGTACTTACGTCACACCCATTTGGAAAGCGCTAGCGTGTTTTGATAGTTTTTACGCCAAGACTTAATAATCACACATTAGTAGTTATGGGTGCAGTGAGGACGATGAAGGTTAAAAACAACAAAAAAAAAAAAAAAAAAAAAAGCAAAGAAATAAAACAAACGTGGGTTGGGACAGAGTAATAATAATAATGATAATAATAATTACCACTGTCAAGAGATTTGCGTCGATTGGATGTTATTTTTAAATAATTAAAATTACTTGATTACTTGATTTAAATAAACCTGAACTTTTTTAACCGTACGTCCCTTTACTACAAAATGTAAGTCTAATTTTAGATCGACCCAGCATGGCCGCCTCCTTGTGACGCGCCCTGTTGCACTGATAATATTTAGTTTGCTTTTCTGTGTGCACTTGCTATAGGTACATCTTCGGTGAGTAGTAAAAACATCAAAATTACCCACTCAAGCCAAATTTCTAATAATAAAATTTCTAATAATATCATCTCGAGGTTAACCAGGATGATGGTAGCGTTGGGTTGAACTGCATTACATTGATCTGAATGTAGCCTGTAGGCTTTCCGAAAAAAAGTAAAATCTCCTGATGTCACGCTGGTCGGTCGAACAAATCCTTTCAAGTGTCAGTCAATATAATTGTTTGAAATTGAAGAATTATTTTTTTTTTTTGTTCTGATCATAATTGTAAAAAGTCTAAGATACCCAGTTTTTGTGATAGAAAGCTACGATTTGGTTTGACTCTGAGTCAGTGATCGATGTGCGAAAATAAGATTTCGGTTACCTTTAATGAGTTCAATTAAAACATTTAAACGTTATGATAGAAGCTTACATGTAAACTTGACATGAATATTCCAAATTCTGTTGCTTCATCCTGTATGTATGAATTAACAGTTTTATTTAACGGGTGGGTGAGTGGGGAGGGGGGGGGGGAGCCCCCCCTCCCCCACCGTCCTGTTAAATAAATACTGTTAATTAATTCATTCAGTATTTCTCATTTTCTTATTACTTGGAAGAATTACTTCAATTTGTACTTTTTCTTGTTACTTCTAGGAAATCACAATGGAACAGATATTAAGAGGTGTGCTTGCCTCCGACAAACCAGAACCTCTGAAGAGAGCCTTATTCAACATGATAGCAGAGAAAGGCAAATTAGTTCAGCAAGTAGGGTCTATATCAGAAGTATTGAATATATCCATGCATTGTGTGATTGATGGAAAAACACAAGTGGAATACGAAGAAGGTCTTAAGATATACATATCATGGGCCAGACATAACAGAGCAACATTTGAGCATTTCTTCACCAAGGAGGTGTTACTTTCTTTGTTGTCTGGACAGTATCAGAACAGTGGGGCATTAGTGGACCTTATTCATGAGAGCATGAGAATACTTCAGGCAAGCCCTAGTTTCATGCACCTTAGTCAAATCATAGCAGTCAAAGGGGCAAGCTTTGTGAGGGAACACCCAGATGCAGAGGTGGTTGGAAAGTTTGCCAAGTTTTTACTGGAGTTCAGAAACTGTATACCTCAAGGAGAAGCTAGTAGACCCTTCTGCGAGACCCTCATCACAGCACTGGGCATGTTACAACCACCAGATGGCGCTGGTGAACTGCAGAAATTACCAGAATTTGTTCATCATGTTGAAGAGGTTGCTTCTCTCTTAAAACATATCTGGGACAATAGTGACACAGATACCATAGTCCGCTGCCTACAGACAGTCTTCAGGCTTATCTCTTGTACAGATGAGGTCTTTGGTCCCCCGTTCTGCCTGGCTTCCCTGGTAGAGCACATACCAAAAGACATGAGGAAGACAGTGGTCAAGAGTGTGGTCACAGATCCTAGGATAAATGACACCATGATGACCATAGCACTGACCAGGATGCTGGACTGGCTTAGGTGGCCAAAGTCAGATGGGGTGGACGAGTGGTTGGGGTCATTTTTACAGGGCCTGGCAAGTGTCCACAAGTATACTATATTGATTAAGATCACAGAGGAGAACATTGACATGGTAAGTTTATGGAATCTAGAAGACATGTTCAGAAAAGTGTTAGCAAAATGGTTTAAGATTAGTTCCTACATTTAAAATTAGGTACTTGTTTGCCATTCATTTTTTTCGTTTTTGATCCACCAGTTCTAAGTGTATCTGGATATGGACGGGATAACCTTGGGTTACCTAATGGTAACAATCAAGTTCTTCCTTCTCACACTCATCAACCTGCATATGTCAGTGCATAAATTCTGCTCTGGCAAGTGCTTTGACAGACCCGTGTCACGGTGTGTACCGTCTGTTCTCCTCTTATTTCGCCTTGCCGCCATCTCTGTGTGAGTTGGATCTTATTTTTTCTTAAAGTACTAACTATTTGTTTTGCATTTCACGCCTAGTCATATAAACTGAAGTACAGTTAACTTAAGAGTAAATATTATTTTCATAATTTTCAAAGGTGTTCAGGTTGCTGCAGTTTCGTTTTGCACGTCAGGGTGTGATCAGGGTGCTTTACAGCCTGTTGCTAGGATACCAACATTCACCAGATGCATTTCACAAGGTGAGGATAAAGTACTGTTCACATTCGATAGATTGAGTTTTATTTTCACTCAGTTTCAAATAATGTATCCCAGTCTAGTTTACCCTGATCTTGTTTTGATAGCAAGGATTCTTGTTTTTTAATTGTTTCAATATGGTTTAAAATTGAACTTTACAGACTGGTTCTGTTCTGTGGGTATAAGAGTAAGCCCACTGTCTTTTTCGTATGAAGAAATTCCGGAAAAATATAGGAAAAAATATGCTCTTATTCAATAAAAAATCCAATCTCTGATGGACAAGCGATCCATTAACAAATCACTTGCACATGCAGGCAACTGTGACTTAAATTCTAGTGTCCCAGCTCCAGAAATGACTTTTGCCAGGCCGGTAAACGTAATGTATATATGCCGAGCTCAGGATTTGATAAGGATTGTGCAGATACGTTTTATAAACACAGGTTGGATTGTCTGTATTTTGACGCATATTCCTTAAATTCCAGATAGTCAACGATGTGCCTACTGTGATAGCCCACCTGGGAACAGAGAACTCACCTAGTAGTAAAAACTGCTTAGAGCAACTTTCACATATGTTGCACTGCCTCATGTATCTGCATGCAGGCTTTCCTGAGTTGTATGATCCTGTGTTGGAAGCCGTTAAGGTGAGTAATAATATATGCATTCATATATTACAGGAATCGTTTTTTCAGATCATTTTGAATTGAATATTTGAACATAAAGGGTGAGATGCTTATTTGTTTGGAAATGAAACCAAATATGTTAGAAGAAAGCAACTTAAGAATCATAAAGACTGGTATTTTTCAAATTTCCTCTTAGTTATGTCAGAAATGATCTTAATATGAGATTTTTTCACACTTTTTATGTGTCTCACAATACTCTTTTATATTGAGACTTTAAGTCTAAAACTTCATACTTTAGGTTGTAATTTTCAGCAATTTATCCTTCATGTTGGTGTTGTATGAGCCAGTGCCTGCCTTTGATGATGCAGTGATGGTGTTGAGGGAATTGTTATGTAAAAACTCAAAGATGAGACTTGACGCGCTAACTCACACAGCTTGCTTTATGATATATTACTACTTTTTAATGAAGTCTTCTTATCAAGCATTATATATTTTATTTTCAACATATGTACTTCATTTTTCTCTTTCATTTAAGGGTTTTCCCAGACCCTCCTCAGATGTGATAAAGCAGAGACTGTCAGAGTACAGATGGGGAGTTCAACAGGAATCCACTACTGGAGTTTTGTCCAAGATAACCAGGAAGTCTGAGACTGGGAAGGTTGGATTGGTCAACCTAGGGAACACGTGTTATATGAACAGTGTGATACAGGCACTTTATATGTGTGATGGGTATGTGGCAAAATTATTTTATAATTATTAGATATATGATATTTATTTATTTTGTTAAGTTAGGTATTGATGTTGTGACTGGGTAGTTAAGTAATCTGTGAATTTTGAATTCAATTGTCAATTGTGCATATTCTTAAAGTCAATATTATATTGAATTTAGTCAACATGAAACTACTAACACCATCAGTTCACCTCCGTAGGAGAAGTATGTTTTTCATATAATTGCTTTTTTTAAATTCACATATTATGTTGTATTGTTTCAGTACATTGCATTAAAATTTTATATTTAGATGATAATTTTGTGATGTCTTGTTTGATTCAGTATTTGAGGCAAGGTAAATTGTTATTTTAAGGTTCCGTCAAGCTTTGTTGAGTTCCCCAGCAGATCCACACTGCCCTCTATTGGTCAAAATGCAGTATTTAGCGGCTTTCCTGGGCCATTCTCAGGTATGAAAAGATCTCGAATTATGGTTACATGTTTGTATATTTAAAATCAAAATTTGGATTAGAAGGTTGTATGTAAAGGTTGTATTTATTATGGTTAGAATAAAAATTTAAGTGTAAATCTCCTAAATATTGGTGGCCACAATCATATAGTACTTAATGCTTGAAATGTGAAAGTAAGATGAGTCTATTTTTAATCTCAGTCTATGTAGATTAATATATTAAAAAATCATTGATATATATATATATATATATATATATATATATATATATATATATATAAGGGAAAATAAAAAGGAAAAACTGTCATCTTTTTATTTATGTAGAGAGCTGCCTTTTCTCCGACCTCCTTCTTGAAGGTATCCAGGCCCCAATGGTTTATACCTGGACATCAACAAGACTGTGCTGAATTCCTCCATTATTTACTAGACCAGCTTCATGAACAGGAACTCACCGCTCTACGCAGAAAACGAAATCCCACGTCCCCTGTTAAACTCCCCAGCCCCATGTCCTCACCAGAACACAGTGTGGAACCAAACTTCTACAAATCAAAACTGCGCTCTGCTCAACAGGAACAATCCACTAGAGGGCAGCAGCATCAGAGAGAGATTGTCATCGAAACTAAAGACGATGTGGATCCAACACTGGTTGGACAAACTTTTGGTGGGAAAGTGATGACCACCTGTAGGTGTTTAACATGTGGACATGAGTCGGCAAGAACAGAGTCCTTCTTTGATTTGCCGTTAGCTTTTCCTGATGGAAATAAGATATCAAGCCATGGCTCCTCCCTTGTAGGAGGTAAATCGACTCCAGCTGAAAAGAATGTTGAAATGGAACAGGAGGGGAACACAGTGGGGAAAGTAGAGCATGAAACAGGGGAGACAAAAATGGATGCAGCTCAAGTCAAAGAATCAAAATTGGAAGGTTTAGATACATTAAGTAGAAGCTCTGCAGGTCTTGATAACAAGGATGGCGGAAATGACTCTTTGACATTGGAAAATCTGCTGGACTATTATCTTGAGCCAGAAAAGCTGGAAGGTGATAATAAGTACTATTGTGACAAGTGCCAGGGTCTGCAAGATGGGGAAAGGTCTATTAAAATTGTTCACTCCCCAAACTTTCTAATTCTGACTTTGTTAAGATTCTCTTACAACATCAAGACTCAGTCGCGCTCAAAACTTTTCAATGAGGTGAGCTATCCTAAGACTTTAATGTTACCTGTTCACAGAGATGAACTGAAAGTGAAATTTACCACCGATGATCCAGTGCAATCCCCGCTCAAGTTTGATCAACAAACCCACGATTATGCTGTACTTGATAAGCCCCAGCATGCATTTGCACAGCAGACGACAACAGATTCGGGTTTTGACGATTCGACTGCTCTGGCCACTTATGCACTCTGTGGAGTAGTTATACACTCAGGTGCATCGAGTGAATGTGGCCACTACTACTGCTATGCCCGTCACTCCCTACCAGTCACTTGCCTGGTGGACAGAATGGAGACTGACCAGGAGACTGACCAGGAGACCGGGAATAGGTGTGATGACCAGGACTACTTGCAGGACAAGTGGTACTTGTTCAATGACAGCAGAGTAACTTATGCTTCTTTTGACTCCTTCAGGTTAGGAGCTTAATGCTGTTTTGTGCTAATTTGTTGAATAAATTTCATAGAAAAATTAGTAAGAAAATTTTCAAAAAATATTTTTCAAAGTAAACAATCTTTTTGTATAAATTGAATGATTCGCCCAAACATTTTTTTTCAGCTGAGACAAATATTATACTAGTATAGGTTCAATGAGGGGTAGCTTAGAGCGGAAGAACCGTGTTAAGTGCTTTGTTAATTTGATATATTTTTCTAACACACTGACAAACATGTACCAGTGACAGTTCAAGTCAATGGTTTTATCTTGAAAGCATTTGTATGTCAGTTATAAAAAAAAACAAGACTATGCCAACTTTTGTTTTTATTTTGCATTTTGCAGTTGTTTTACAAAAATATTATTGTAAGACAAACCCTGCTTTCTTATCATTAGTTATAAAAACATTTCTTTTTTTTTTTCTTTTTTTTTTTTTTGATAACCTCCCATGTATTTTGAACTAATTATTCTCCATCATTTCCGCTATTTCAGATAGAACCTGCTTTTGCTTTTTGCCTCAATGTATTTTTCTTTTTACAGTAATGTGACAAAAAGATTTTCCCGTGACACAGCCTATGTCCTAATCTACAAGAAAATATCTTCTGATGACAGCATTCTGAACCTAGATGATAGCATCAACCCAGCTGTGGTAGACCCCCCTCTCAGGAAAGATCTCAGAGATGCTGTGATACAGGATAATGCTAAGTACTTGCAGGTCAGTAATTTACCCAAACTTTGGTCCATCTAGCTGAAAATATTAGTTCATTAAACTATTCTTGTTGATATGATATTAATTTCCCTCTGTTGTTGACTATGACATTTTGAACTAAGGTTTTGAATATGTAATATGTTTTATGATTATATTTTAATACATATATATATAAAAAATATATTTTATGTCATTTTAAGGAGCAGGAATTAGAAGCTCGGAGTCAAGCAGTTCGTAGAAGCCTAAGCACGTCCCCAGCACGAAGTTGGAATCGATGGAGTGATTTTGACGACAAGGGGGGACCCCCTGGGAGTTGTGGTCCAGGGGGTGGTGGGGGTGGGGGAGGAGGTGGGTTTGGTGGAATAGATCTCTCAGGGTCAAGATTTGTCTATTAGACATTTGATTGGACAGTTGTTCATCTTCAAGTGCATAATATATATGACAGTCAGAGTAGATTCCTATTATGGATAAGCAAAAACTCACTTGATTCTACAGAATCTAAAAAATGGTTAGACCTGTATATCAATTATTTATGGGTACATAACAGATCCTTACAGTAGTACATGTCATGTAGTAAAGTTGATACATTATAAAGAGAAATTGTGTTTGTTATTTCTCTCAACTGCTGCATGTATTGTTATTTAATTCTCTAATTTTTTCTGTGTCGTTTAGATGCATGAAGTTTTATCATGCTTTTATAAGCGGTGCTAAACATTTGAAGTACACTCTAACTGAAGGATTGTTTTCTTATAGATTCTTAAAGATGTGACTGTTTGGATTTTGAGAAAATACATTAAGAACTAATACAATAAGTGAGGGCAATCAATGTAATCTTTCTTTTACACAGACAAGTAATTAAATTTGACCTATTTGTGGAGGGTTCTTATAACTGTACTTAAGCTCTACCTCTGTTTTGGCTTCATTTCTGTAAACGTACCCTTAAAACAAGTAATTGTTTCCATTCATTGTATTGCATTTTTTTTTTTCGTAATAGAAGTGCCTCCCCTTGATATAGATTCTACTTGTACAATAGACTGTTAGTGTTATTGGCACTAAAAATTTTATGGACTTGATACTTGTCTTTGATAACTGTGATTAATTACTGTAGTTGTGTTTGATTACTTCACACATCGTATTCATTATTAAAGATTAATATTGATAAAAATTGCTTAATATTATAATTTAATCTCTGTAGTTCATTTCCATTGCAGTTATTATTGTGTCTGGTTCTTTTTTTTTTTTTTT